CTTCATCTTTTTGTCCCATTAATCATACTTTTCTCTGAGCAGAGCCCCATTAAGATGACTGAGACCCTCTCTCTGTTTTGAAGGGGTCCCTAAGGCCCCCTGAACAAAGCTCAAGCTCATCACTTTCTTTTGAGTGAAAAAAGTCTCTATAGATTATTTCTGTCATCAACTAACAATTTGTTTTGTGGCTTTTGACTGATTCTTTTGAAAAATGACACGGCGGAGACAATAAAACAAACCTTGAGATCCACAAGGATACCAGTCTGATTGATATACTTGATGTTTGCAAATATGTCTTTTTTGTTTGAAAGATGATCCCCTGTACCTGGTGATGCATGATGTTTTTCCAAAAACACATTTTCTTTTTTATGCTTTTTTAATAGTTTCATGCACCCAAAAACAAATCACAACAGTAGTGGTACAAGTTAATCATTATACCATGGTGAATTATTTTTTGTGATTTCTAATTTACCAAAAACACAACAGGCCCCTCCCAGATTGTATTTGTATTTATTTATAGAAGGACCATGCATACAAAAATATTAATCTCAGCAAAGAGAAGAGATGCAATATGCCAGATTATAGCTCATAGCTAATGTCCATCTGTGGTCCTCAGGCAGGTTCATAACAATCAATAAACAAATAATAACATTGCATGATCTCTATCAGTCAAAACATTTTAAAACCTGATTTAAGTACAGCTCAATAAATTAATACATAGTACACTTGAAATACACTACATGATCTCGGTCACTCAAATAATTACAAAGCCTGAGAACATCATACTTAGTACACTTCAAATACACTTAAATAAAAATATGTAAGATATAGTATGACGATACAGTTCAAATTAAAAAACTCAGATTACAGTGTAATTAATATTGGCATGACTGGTTGCTTAATATCATTTTTTTTGCACCATAAGAAAACGAGTTAAAATCGGTACAGGTTTTAAGTTCAACTGGAAGAGTATTCCAGTGCTTGATGGTCGTGTAACNCGGTCACTCAAATAATTACAAAGCCTGATTTAAATACAGGTTAGAAACATAATACTTAGTACACTTCAAATATACTGAATACAGTTCAAATAAAAAAAACTCATATTACAGTGTAATTAATGTTGGCATGACTGGTTGCTTAATATCATTTTTTTTGCACCATAAGAAAACGAGTTAAAATCGGTACAGGTTTTAAGTTCAACTGGAAGAGTATTCCAGTGCTTGATGGTCGTGTAACTTGTGTATAAAGGAACATAAATGGTGAGAGGATGAATTTTAATCTTCTATCACTAGCTGGCAAAACTATGAACAGCTCGATAATACACCTGCTTACGCGTCACCTTACTGAGAGTTAAACAATTATAACTACATCAAACATAAGTGTGATTGACTGAAAGAAGTTCTCAGTAGTCATCTGCTTCTGTCTTCTTAAAGTTGCTGATAGTTTGATTCAGTTTAACTTAACCCAATTCAATTTGCTTCATTGGACATCATTTCATATTTGCAAAGATGTCCAGCGCTTAGAATCCAACGAAAAATAAAAAATATCTTTGGTCAATTTGGCATCGTTACTGTATTCTTCCCCTGTTAACTCACAGTCCTCAGTCTTCTAGCAGAGAAGCTAGGAGACACTTCTGCTTTCTTATATCAGCCTAAGCTACAGTCTCATTTGGGGCATGTCCTCAGTGGTGGCTCATGTGTGTCTCCAATTACACTTTGTAAAGTCAATTTTTGTTGACATACATGTAAGGACCGTTATTGATAACAGCAACAATGAATAAAGCATAATAAATAAAAGGATTGTCATGAAAAACACAACACTTTATAATGTAAGTTCCACAATATAGACAGTACTTTGTGATGGACTTGTTCCTGGTAAATTGTTCAGCAAACCTGAGAAGATGCTAGAAAATATTTTCATGTGTGAAGGATGTGCAAACCTTTCAACTTATTTCTGGAACTCAGGTTGAAAGTTGAAAAAAAATGAAAATAAGAGCTCTTCAACACTGCACTGATTCATCCTCAGCTTTGAACTAAGCTTGCCTAGCTGTGTGTTACTCTTTGATCTTTATCTGTTTAAAGTGAATACGTTAAAATACAACGTTCTTCGAAAAGGAACTAGACAGAGAGAGAAGCAGGACACTTCATTTTGATAAGAGGCCTAATACCTGCACCTTTCTGCAGAGCCACCAGCTCTTTGATGACAGGGAACGTATTGAGCCTTTCAATCAATCAATCATCAATCAATGTTTATTTATATAGCCCAATATCACAAATGTTACATTTGTCTCAGTGGACTTCACAGTTTGTACAGAATATCAGTATGACAATACGACACCCTCTGTCCTTAGACCCTCACATCGTACAAGGAAAAACTTCCAGAGAAAACCCACAGTTTAAAGGGAAAAATGGGAGAAACCTCAGGGAGAGCAACAGAGGAGGGATCCCTCTCCCAGGACGGACAGACGTGCAATAGATGCCGTGTGTAAATTGAAAAGATAATACATTTGCAACATAGGTAGTCCAAATGTTTGGAAATGCATGTGTGTATAATAGGAAGATGAATCCACGAGGATATCCATCCAGGACTTATGATCCAGGACCACAGCCACGACTCAAGATCCAGGACTCGCGATCCATGACAGAGGACCTTTGTGCAACCATCTTTAATAGTGTGACAAACTGTGTGTTAGGTCGGTATCTTAGGGTACCATTTGTTGGGTTTAGTACTAGGACTTGCATTTAATAACTTGTTACAAAAGAGGTGAAAGAGAGAAAACCCACAAGTCCAAATGAAATCACACAAAGGTAGACCAAGCGAGAGTCATTCAAATCTATTTTAGGCTCCATTATAGACATCCAAGCAGAGAGATGGATGTAAGCCCGACAACACTTAAGGCAGCTGGAAGGTTTGGGAGTGTGACCATATGTAAACTCCTCTCTGCTAATGTTTACAATTACAGTGGTGGCAAATTGGAGATTGGTGGCCAGTTTGCATATCAAACGACTCTGAGGAGGAACTCTTTGGCTTCAGTGCACTGGGATGTGTTTTCTCAGCAAACAGCAGTGTAATTGGGAAAATCATTTTCCAGCTGCTGTGGATTTGCAGGCAGAAGGTGTGTGTGTGGATTTACATTATTCAGTACGAGGCTCCTAAATAATTAAAACCAGCCAAGGGGAAATTAATGAACCCAACTTTTAACTGGGCTTTGTCATGATAAGACCACACAGTCTCTTTAACAGACCTGTCAGGATTTCCTGCATGTGACAGTTGCCATTCTGTGTGACATGTAATTGATCTTCGTGGAGATTGCCTGCAGAGAGCTTCTCACAAAGTGCAGGAAGTATTGACAACATGTTGGGGAGACTCTGATGGAAGTACACATGCTATTGAACAGGAAAGGCTTCCTTTGGGGCAATCTGGATTCTCGATCGATGATATGGGATGGGCTGGAATAAATGGGTTGCAGCCTAAAGCTTCCCAACTAACTCATTTCATGAGAAGGTGTAGGTTACACTTCTCCAAACCATTTTTAGAGGTTTAGATTGGATCCAACTTTATTGTCATTGCACAGAAGAACATAGAAACAAATACAGACTGAAACAACAAGTAAAGTACCAGTAGTGCAAACGAAGCAGTAAAGTGCAGTGTAATATATATATATATATTTAATCAGGGGTGCACATAACTTTCTCAGTGAGGTACTCAGATGAGTACCTGGAGTCAGTGTTTGGTACTCCAACTTCTGGCTCCACTCAAAGTTATTTGATGATGCCCTCTGTATCGCAAACGTCAATGGGGTGGGGGGGTGCGAGTGGAGTACTCCGTGACCACAGCGCGTGACCGTTGTGATCAGCTGTTTTAGCGCAGTTCTCCAGTGAAGGGGGGGGAGTCTCCCTCCGCGGCCGGGTGGCGTAGTTTTGGCTCAATTCCGTTGTACAGACCAACGTTAACAGCAGCCCTGTCTGTGCACACGGAGACCGACTCTGTCGTCCGGTGATCTAACCGCCTTCTGGTAAAGCTTCACAATACGTTGTTGCGCGTACCTGCGTACCAGTTATGTGCACCCCTGGGCCTGGTCATAACCATAGACTGTATATATAAATGGACGTAGGGTCCGTGACGTCACCCATAGGATTCTGCAGAGTTGCCGAGAAGCCCTTAGTAGGCGGAGTCGGCCACCAACGGCTCGACAGTGACAGAGTTCAACTCCCGCCTTCTCCAGCCTGCTCCAAATAGAGTGGCGAAGTCACGCCCATCTACTTCCGGTCCATGG